GCACGGATTGCGTTCTGCATATGATGGTTGGCACTTCCATTGCCGAACTCCAATTGTATCAAGAACCCAACTTCATTACACATGGATTCATGCTCGCACTAAGCACGGCAACCTGTTTCCATATGTTTATTCTAGAAGCCAGTGTCCTATATAGCAATGGCCCATGGGGCTAGATCCATACACAACCAATCCTAAATGTCTATGGATTAATTAAATTCCATTAATCCTGTATGAAATAAATTCTTTTTTTTTTCTTTTTTCATTGAAGTTCTTTGTATGAAATAAATTCTTTCAATGCTTTATACAATCATATTCTTGAAACGGCATATACCAGTGTTGTTCAAAATCTCATAAATGATATGCGCATCGTCATCACGTAGGCCGTTTGTGTACATGGAAATTATGCTTAGGAAACAAATTAATAGTGTGATGCATTACCAACGTAATATATTACCAAAAGATGTAATGTTTTTATTTGGGTACCATCTGGATGCAACTTAAGCATGGATTGCTATTGTTTGGCTACGTCCAAAAGAAATTTAGGAAATGCATTACCTTTATTTTAGGATGAAAATACTGCATGAAAGTTTGGCTTAAAATATATATTTTTATTTTAATAGTTAAATTTATTTAAGAAGTTTCTTTTAGAAAGCTATAAATCGGTAAAATAATTTTATTCAAAAATACGAAAAAATTCAAGTTCAGTTCTTTATAAGGACATAATTCTGTGAACGTAGAGATCACACTCCTAAATTTGAGAAATCGTGGAAATGGGATCTACAATTTTCAAAAACATGCACTGTGCGATGGTGGGATCAAGATCTTTTGTCCATAGGAATTGGATTTTTTTAGGTTAAAATAACTGGCCTACTATTAGAGATAGCTAAACCGCTCAAAGGCGCACCGGTACGGGACTTGCGAGTACATTGTAATATTTTGCCATTGACAAGGTTCAACCTAAGTTGACCCCAATGCATGACAAAAGGGAACTGACAATATGAGTGGCTAAGCACTACAATTAAAAACGACAGTAGGGTCTGTATTGTGCATAATGCATATGTTGGGCCTAATTTTTTCCAGTACTCTCACTCAAAACGTTTTGTGCTTTTTATAAATGCACGTGAAATGGCATCAATTGTAGAGGGCAATGGTTTAAAAAACGGATCAGTGACCCGGATTGGGCTTCCAAAAAATCGATTCGGATCGGGAATCGGGTGAATCGGTCAGAATAAAGCTTAAAAAAAATTCGAAAAAATTATTAAAATTCATTATAAATATTGTTTTTTAGGAATTCAATAAAAAATGAGGGTACTCC